CACATATAGTCTCAAGAACAAAAAAAAAAAAAAAAAAAATCGGTGACAACATGTTATTGATAAACAGCAATCGATTCATCACATAAACATATGCAAACACGAAACCTCAGCTCAAAAAAAGGATCGGAAAAGGGAGAAACATACCACAGAGCGTGCAGCGATGATCGGAGAGGAGGAAACAAAGAGACGGAATGGATTCGTACAAAAGACGCAGCTTTTTAGAAGAAAGGAGAGAGGTTTTTGAGAAAAAAAAGCTTCTTCCTTTTTTTCTTTTCTTCTTTTGAGATGGTTTGGGCAATGAAGATGATCGGTTTTTTATATTTAAAAGAGAGAAAAGCAATAATCTCATCAAAGAAAATTAGGACGAAACACGCCAATTTAATAGCGGCGGTTTTAAGCACTTTGCCATCAGGAAATTTAGACCAAAGCTCTCTGACCACTTTCACCGCCTACCGGTACAACCCGTTCATTCTTCTTCCTTTTGCCGACTAATAAAACCATTTTATCATGTGAACTCGTGATTACGCATATTCCCTGTTATTATGGATTTTTGCAATTTTCAAACTCTTAATTTAATTTCCTTCCACGACAGGTCGGAGCTGGAGAAGAAACTCTTTCTTTTTTGGTTATTTGATAATGGGCCTTTATTTGGACTATATATGGGCCGGGCCTCAGCTGGACTACCAACAATTCCTACAGAGTTCCAAAAAGTAACATTTTTCCAAACTTTATGATTTTGTTTATTTAAGAAAAGTGACACATTGTTTTGAACCATTAAAAAAATGGGCTAATTGGCGAAATAGCCATGTATGGCATATAAATTAGAGAACTAGACATGATTTTGACGTAATTTAATATCAAGTATTTTGCCTTGTTTTCAACCGGTTTTACTCTTAAAAGGAAGAAGTTACCAGTTCATATTATAAAGTAACGACGTGTTTCTTTTCTATGGTATAATAGTAATCAAAAACTATTGTAACACGTGGAAGAGATTTATTCAACACATATGATGTAAACGGATTAATCGAAAGCAGTGAATAATATTTGCAAGTATATCAGAAACTATGACAAACTAACGGCGACTGGAGGAAGATCATGAATGTCTATCCTATTCTACATGTACTTATTTCTATACTACATACTCTAGATAAAATAGTATAACTATTTCAACAGTGCAAATGTTCATCATGCAAGGAAACACGGTAATGCTTTAACGTAATCACAAACCCCTACTTGTTAATACTAAACCAACAAAGATTCATGAAATCTTAAGGTAAAGAAGATGCCACTATACCGTCTTATTATCTCTAGGATTGCGAAAAAGTTTAATTTCCATGTAACAAATCATATTAGGGCAACTCTAGAGAGTCTATTCTATTTAGGCTAGATCTATTCCATATGGTTATATAGAAAAACATAAATAAAAAGATGGTGATGTGTGCGCTTGAGAAAAGACGATGATGTAATCCATGGAATAAATATTCAATAGTGAGTTACAGCTATTCCATTTTAAAGAGTAGGAGAAATTCACATAAATAGGTGGAATAACTAAAGCTAAGTACTTGAGTAAAAGTTTGAATGGGGGAATTGCTGACTTTTTTGTTGCTAAATACACACATATATGCGGAGATCACATATATGGATGTATTTTTATGTTATTTCTAATAAGTTAACCCAAAACCCACCAGAACCACTAAACACTAAACCCTTATCTGTAATAAGTTAACCCTAAACCCAAATATAAACCATAAACGCAAATATAAACCCTAAACCCATATAAACTCTACATCACATGGAATGGAACAAAACGCAACTTAAGGGACGATGAGATACGATATTTTCATGTCTGATCCATTTCACGTAGAATAGAATGACTCCATCTACTACTATTCCATTCCCAATGGCATGCACGAATGTTACACCAAAATGTCAACCGGGTGACAGAATAAGAACATGACCAATAACATAAGGTAATGTTGATCCCACCACAACGACTAAATATTAAACCCTAATCTCTAATAAGTGAACCCCAAACCAAAATGTAAACCCTAAAACCAAATATGAACCCTAAAACCACATATAAACGCTACATCACATGGAATAGAAAAAAATATATAACATAGTCCTTAGTTAAATTATCAAATATTTTTGATTGCATTTATTAACCCTCATCAATTGAAAGGCATAGTTTTCTGAAATTAAACTAACATTCCCGCACGTGTTTTACAAATAGTACGTGAGAAAACATTTAAAACGTTATAAACACTAAACAAAAATTAAGGAAATATAAACCCAAAGCAAGTGACGACAACAGTGTTGATGAATTAAACCCATCCGCCAGCATACCAGAGACTTATATTTACCTACCTCAGAGACATGGCAGCTGCCAATACAAATGATGGCAGTCTCTCACGTACGATGCTACTATAACAAATTGGTTTCCCTACAAAGAGCCACCAGAGATGGAATCCTTCTCAGTAACCAGCTGCCGTGTCAGAATATAATGAAGAAACATAACTGAGAAGGTATGGATCCCCATCTGCATGACTTGGCTAAACTGAGACGCATTCAACATAGCGAGATCGTCTTCCTCTAATGCAAGCTTTATGACCTCAATATACCAGAGGTAGAAGTAGTTGTTAACTCTTTTCCTCCCAGTGGGTTTGAACCATGTCTCAAACATTCTACTTGGAAGCTCTAACTCGTCTATGGTAAACCTGAAACCGGGAAAATAAAAAGAGAAACAATGGAAACATATAAGTTATAAATATAGTATGGATAAATAATGGAAATACATAAGATATAAATCTACAATTCAATTTAGAGTAGAAAGTGTGAACTTATATAAAATTCCATTCTATGTCACATGGAATAGATCAATCACAAAAACATACTATATACATAGAATGAGACACCGAGGTATTCGAAAGCTATTCTATTACACTTCAAATAACCACAAAACTTCTCTTATAGTTAATTCTATTCCACTTCATATGAAATCTATTCCACTTCATATGAAAGTGATTTTTGAAACACCATACTATATACATACAAAGAGACAAAACTGTAAATCAAACGCTATTCCACCCAATAATCACTTGGAACTCCAATCAAACTTGAGAAAAGCTACCCCAATCAAACTTGAGAAAAACTAGAATTCAAAAGCAATAAGAGTATAATACATAAGTAGGAACCCCAATCAAGTATAACTTGAATTTGTTTCGGCCAATAATCGCCTCAGATCTGACATGAAAAGTCGATATGGTGGTGGATTTTACAATTACAATACCCTAGCTCAGAGTATAAACGAGTCATAGAAAAGAAAATAATATAAGATGAAGGGAGGAGAGTTGAGAACATACAGTTACTGAGATGCGACGGAGTAGCGGCAAACTTAACAAAGCCATTGAGACTCGACGGAGTAGCTGCAGACTTAACGAAGCTTCTGAGATGGGACAGAGTAGCGGCGGAGGACGATGTAGATGGAAAAGCTGAAGAGGACGCGGCGGAGACGGCAAGATATTGGGCTCACTGAGGAAAATCTTATGTGTTATAATCGCGGTAAGTAAATAAGTGAAAAATATTGTGAAGGCGGAGAAGCCACGATTTAGAGTTTTACTTTCCACAAGTTGAATTTAAAAAAAAAAATTATTCAACAGGTTTATCCAGTTGAAAAGAAGGGCAAAACGGTATTAAAATATAATGTTGACGATGTCTATACATCTGTTAGGTTAAATAGCTATTGGGCATATTACCGTTTTTTGTCTGTCCATACATCCCAATTTCCTTTAAAAAATCAAGTTGCTTATTCTTTTATAGTAGTAATAGTAGAATACGAAATTGGAATGTCAACACACAAACAAGTTTTCTCTTTCATGTACGTTAGAGTAGCGTTATCCGATTTTATCTTACTACTTTCAGTTTGTTGTTAGCTCGTAATCCTCTTTAGACAACTATTGCTAACCTGAATCAAATGAAACTTATATAGTAAAAGAGCATTAAGAGCAGGCGAAAACAATTTGATTTCATTAAGATTGTTTTCCCCCATCACACAAACATTCATTCACATATATCCCACACTGATGCCAGAAATTAGAAAAGACAGTAAAGAAATTAAAACTGGCCAAATTTGTACACACACCATAACAACCATTTTGTAATTTTTTTTCTTAGGCTGCACTTCTGAAAGACCCGAGGGACTTGGAACCAGAAGCTCTTAGAACGAATTGGTGGTAAAAAGCAGCAATCGCAGCTCCAATGAATGGTCCAACCCAGAATATCCACTGCAAATTAAATAAACCAAAAAAAATACTAATTTAATTCTCACATCGTAAACATTAATTATAGTGTGATTAGTTTCTATTAAAAGAGACATACGTGGTCATCCCGCGGCTTGGACTCGTTGAATATAACCGCAGCTCCGAAACTCCTTGCCGGGTTAATTCCGGTTCCGGTGATCGGAATAGTAGCCAAGTGAACCATGAACACCGCAAAACCTATAGGAAGTGGCGCCAACACCTAATTCATAACCAATAGTATAATTAATTAGTCGCTCGAGTTATGCCATATCCCATATGTTATCTAACGTTATTATAGTTACTAGTGGATGCTAAAATACTTACGGGAACGTGGGAGTCACGTGCGTTTCTTTTGGGGTCAGTGGCTGAGAAGACAGTGTAGACAAGAACAAATGTTCCGATGATCTCTGCGGCTAGTCCTGTCCCTGTGCTGTATCCGTCGGCCAGAGAGTTTGCTCCACCGCCGTAACGCACGTAGTAAGCGCTTTGGAAGGCTTTGACGAACCCAACTCCACATATAGCACCCAAACACTGAGCCACCATGTATAGCACCGCTCTAACCAGCGATACCTTGCGGGCCAAGAACAAGCCGAACGTCACAGCCGGGTTTATGTGTCCACCTTCATAAAATTTGAGGTCAATGGCAAATAAACTATAAATCCATAACCGGATATGAAATTTGTTGTGCTATAAATTAATATTTTACATTTATTTTAATAAAAACAAAATTTGATAATTTGGATGTCATACGATTGCGTATATAATATTTTAAAAGTATTTGGGGAGTGAAGTCGAATGTTTAAACCTAAAATCAAATAAAGTGTTTGTACTTTGTAGTTCAATTTACAAATTTGTTAACCGGACCGGTTCGGTTTTGTATAATACCTGAGATACCGGCGGTGCAGTAGACAAGAACGAATATCATGCCGCCGAAAGCCCATGAGATACCGAGGATTCCGACGCCACCGCATTCGTCGCCTCCGGCCTTAGTGTCGGAGGAAATCTTGTAGCCGATGACAGTTAAAACGGTGACATATAAGAAGAGGAGAGTGGCTACGAACTCGGCGATGACGGCTCTGTATAAAGACCACTTTGTGAGCTCCTCCGGGTCGAAAAACGGAGTTGGCGGTGGGTCTTCGTAGTCCCTCGCCGTGACTCCCTCTGCTCCTTCCACATCTTTTGCCATTTAGTATATATTTGTATGAGGTCAAATGTGTTCTTGGTTATTATGAAAGTGAAGAGATGAAGAAAGGTTTATTTATATAGAGTGAGTATATGCATACATATGATATGATTAATTGTAAGCTATACGTATATCATTATTTGATTACTTATATTACAATATTTTTTTCATTTGTAAGTTATGGTTATTCTATAACTCGTTTCACTAAAATAAATAGAGAAATGTATATGACGATTATTATATTTTCGTGGAAACTAGTTTGCACTAATTAATTACTTAGCTAGCTGTCCTGATAAGTAATCTTAAACCAAACTAATCATTGCTCCATAATTAATATTATCTCTATTTCCAAATGATAAGTTTATGTTTTCGCGTATATTAAAGTATTCATTGAAATTTGATTATAAGTAAATCATTTTGTGAGATTAACTATATTTGAAATTAAATTAATAGGATAAATACAGTTTTTAAGTGTTTTTATAATTTACATCTATCTTATTGAATAGGATTTTTAAAAAAGTATTTATCTGAATATAGAAGTATTGTTTAATATATATTCTACTTTTTAGTAAGCAGAATTTTCATATCCATTAGTTAGCACAAAACTGAATTTCATGATATATTTACATAGTCAAACAATTAATTTGTACATCTATATATTATATTTTCATCCAAAATAATATTTTCATGGCAAACAAAGAAGAACATTGTAATATTTACTGGTGATAGTTCAATAGTTTGTTTTGTTGACAAATACAGAACTCAACTTTATTTTGGTTAGCCCTCGATCTTTAACCTTTTTTTTTTTGCTTAAACCCTTTTTCAACTTTTGAAAAGAACTTTTGGTTTAAACTAACGTTAATCGTCTGTTACATTAAGCCTGGACTTATTTAAGATTTGGATAATGTAAAAGAAATGTGGAGCTATTAAGAACAGCGACTTCCTAATTCTAAATGTATGGTAGATAATTGAGTTTTATGGTTAATTTAACTTAGCCTCGCCGCCCCACACCTAAATGTAGCTATCATTTGGACCGACCCTAATATACTATATGCGTCTGTATTTTTTTCCCTTGTCCTATGTCACGAGCCGTGTCCGTCTTCTACAATAATATAGGCTGTCACTCTTTTACGCACATAAAAAATATTATTATTATCGTAACGTTATATGTTCAAAACTTTGAGATAGCCAGATAAGATTGATTAAAGGTAAAAAAATTATGATTATATCGATTCCAACATTCTTCAATTGCTGCTTGTATCTTGTATCTATAATCCCTCTCTAAAACGAGCAAAGTAGCTGTTGATGAAACAAAAGCTCATAAGTTGATTGATTAATGTTTGTTAGTTCGGTATTTTATTTTTTTATCGCCTAAAATTCATCAAAATCATATATTTAACGCTGTTACAACTTTTTCATCTGAAAACCTGGATTACTAAAAGAATAAATAAACACATGAAAGTCCAAACAGCCACACAAGCAGAAGCTAACGACAATAAAGCACCGAAAAACCAAGACATAAACAAAAGTTCAGAATAAAGACAGAGGAACCACATCAGTATTTATCTCTTTGTCGAAATTAAATAATCATTTAGCCAACGAAGACAACCTTGCGCTTGCGCTACACAAGAGTATGGTAATCAAAGGTCTACATCAAATCTTCGCAATCTCATAAGCTCTTCCATGCATTGTAATGAAAACTCTCTTCTATACTTTTCTGTGCACGACTCTCTTCTATACCAATTAATGAAAACTAGTGATGCTTATCTTTTGCGAAGCTCAATAACATTGTAAATAAAAGATTTTCGACACTAGGCAAACCATATATTATAGCATTCTCAACCTATTTATAAAACTAATTGATGGAGAAAGTCTCTTTAGTGTTAGCTGGAGCTCAGATAACCCTAGCATTACATTAACGTAATAATTACATGACCCAGAATAAAAACTGCGTCGATTCAATGGATCTGTTTCCACTAAAGGTTGAAATCTTGTGGACGTTGGGTGTGTGACGTGGGTCCAGTGGACACACCGCCACATAGCTCGGACAAATGCATCGGCACCGCCCATGTAGATTAAGTCCAACTTCGGTTCCACTCAACCACTCCTCTAATGCCACGTAATGCAGACCCCACAAGCTGTCAACAATCATTTGCTCTCTCTCTCTCTTCATCCTCAATTCCAATTGCAATTTTAATTTATCATTATGTATAGAAGAATACTGAACAAAAAAGTTAGAAAAAGTGACATGGGTGTAATTGGCTATTGCTATTGCTGTAGATGCTCTCTACAGCCATAATTATTTACAGCCCTATATTTATACCAATCATGATTTTTATTTTTTCTAAAGCTCATAGCCATTTTTTTAATTCTACAGCACTTCTTTAAATTCATGTCTTTATAACTGTTCTGCAAAGACAAATACCTACAGCTCATATTTAAAGGCTTTTAAAAATTAAAAATCTAGAGCCAAAGCAAAAAAAATCACAGCAATACTTCTACAGCCAAAAAATGAAATCACAGCTCTTACCAATCACCCCCTTAGACAAAAGGATTGTGGTGTAGTGTGGTGTTTATGGCTAATGTTTTGCCACGTCAAAATGACCTTATCGTTTTAGCGACGCCTCTCTGTTCTTATTGGATTATATAATTCATGTCAGCAATGTGCACTTTCTCGCTCTTATTATTAATTTTTGTTTTCTTGCTCTTATTTTTTTTTCCATCCTTTTTCAGGAAAAAAACATGGATGATATGTGAGGAATAAAAAAGACTGAAATTTTATATAAACTGATCTTTTTCATCCTTTTTGTTTCTTTTATTGAAAAAGTTAAGCCTCGAATTACATGTCTATCGTTATTTCATAGCTTCTCTATACAAACGTTCGCGTACTTATAACTTTTACCAGACTAAGCATGAAAGGATGCAAGAATAATCCAGACTAAGCATGAAAACACAGCAATCGTGTTGTGCCACGATGTTAGCAAATACTTTTAATGTTTACAAATGATATTATGAATGTTTATCAAAACTTAAAACTATTTATGCATGTGGCGGGTACAGCTTATACAGATAAGGTATGTTTGTATGAGTGTATCATACGAATATTTATGAATAAAAAAATATATAATTATCATAATTATCAATGTTCATCCCTTGCTTTTGCTCGCGTTTTAATAATGGTTTTTGGTGGTTTGTCAACGGTCAAAATATATTGACGTGACATGGGGACCTTGATCTCTCGGTATAGCAACAATGGCGTTACTTGAAAATGTTACAACATGAGAAATAGGATTCCTTGTGAAGAATGAATGTAAATACTTTTGTTGTTGTTGTTCGGAAAAAAAAATTAAGTAAATACTCCATCCGTTTTTTTAAAATTTATAATATTTTGATATTTTTTACACAAATTAAAAAATAGTTGAAATATATTTATGTTTTTATTAATTTTTTATATATATATATAATCAGTGTAATTTACGATTAATATTAAACCTAAGATGATCACAACTTGTATTGGAATTCTAAAATAATATTTTCATCTAATATAAAAATAAAAAATATTAAAATGATAACGTTAAGAAAAAAAATAGGGAGGGAGTAGTTCTAAAGTAAAATAGAAATGTCAATTATACAGTAACACTAATCAAGAGCTCACTCTATATAAAGAGGACCTTTTACTCTTCTTCTCACGACCACAACAACAACAACAACAACAATTCATAAGAAACTTCAGAAACATACATGGCGAAAGACGTGGAAGGAGCAGAGGGATATGCGTCAAGGGATTACCAAGATCCGCCACCTACTCCGTTTTTCGACCCGGAGGAGCTCACGAAGTGGTCTTTATACAGAGCCGTCATCGCCGAGTTTGTAGCCACTCTCCTCTTCTTATACGTTACCGTTTTGACAGTCATCGGCTACAAGATTTCCTCGGACACTAAGGCCGGAGGCGACGAATGTGGCGGAGTCGGAATCCTCGGCATCGCCTGGGCTTTTGGTGGCATGATTTTCATCCTTGTCTACTGCACCGCCGGTATCTCAGGTATAACAATACCAAACCAGTTCGGTCTACACCCGGTTCAGCTAATTTAAAATTACGACAATACCATTGATCCTTTGTTTTAAAATATATTTGACATTGAACCCAAACTTTATGAAGGTGGTCACATAAACCCGGCGGTAACGTTCGGTTTGTTCTTGGCTCGGAAGGTATCGCTGGTTCGAGCGGTGCTATACATGGTGGCTCAGTGTTTGGGTGCGATATGTGGAGTTGGGTTCGTGAAGGCCTTCCAAAGCGCTTACTACGTGCGTTACGGCGGTGGAGCAAACTCTCTAGCTGATGGATACAGCACAGGGACAGGACTAGCCGCAGAGATCATCGGAACATTTGTTCTTGTCTACACTGTCTTCTCCGCCACTGATCCTAAAAGAAACGCACGAGACTCCCACGTTCCCGTAAGTATTTTTAACATCAACAAGTAATTGTAAGAACGTTTGTTAACATAGGATATAACTCGACTGACTAATTAATGATACTTGTGGTTATGAACTAGGTGTTGGCGCCACTTCCGATTGGGTTTGCTGTTTTCATGGTACACTTGGCTACTATTCCGATCACCGGAACCGGTATTAACCCGGCAAGGAGTTTCGGAGCTGCTGTTATATTCAACGAGTCCAAACCGTGGGATGACCATGTATGCCTCTTTTAATATAAACTAATCAAACTACAGTTATGTTTTTAATGGGAAAAATAGTTGAATATCTTTTGGTCTATTTAATTTACAGTGGATATTCTGGGTTGGACCATTCATTGGAGCTGCGATTGCTGCATTTTATCACCAGTTCGTCCTGAGAGCTTCCGGTTCCAAGTCACTAGGGTCCTTCAGAAGTGCAGCCAACGTTTGAATTTATCCCACACAAAACCAAAAAAGTGGTTACTGTTATGTAGTATTTGGGCACATGACTTTTTAAAATATGCCCTCCTTTCCCCATGTGTTTTTCATTTTGGTTACTCTGCTTCTGTTTGTGTGGATTCCAATTTATGAAGTTTTAGTGTTTTACGTTTTCATGTTCACAGAATGTCAATTTACTAAGAAAAGTCAGTTTGCTTGGCTTATTTTATCTCGTCCTTTCTATCCTCATCGGATACTTGGAGTAACCAGTAAGAAAATCATCCAGAAATGAATATTCAAATGAGATTGTAAAAGTGTAGATGAAGAACAAAAACGCAATAAATGCACGACCAAGACATAAAATTCGATAGAAAATCCCTAAATATGTTATAACGCAAATCTAGAAATCTTTGAGGCCACAAGTCATGGGAAATGTAGATGAAGTTGCAGCGAAACAACACAAGCATCACCTTTAAACCACAGTGTGTCCTAAGACTAACAAATCTATCATTACTCTAGTCTCTACTCATCAAATAGCCACAATATAACCTTACGCATTATGTAGTAATTAGTAACTACACCAAATTTGATTAACATATACAAAGAGCTGCAAATACCATTTCGACTGATACGCCAAAGTTTCAACCATTTCAATTTAAAAGTGCTCATCAAAACATAGCATAAGACAAAAACAACAGAACCAAAACTGACTTGTCCTTAACTGAAACATAGAAACTAAAACACAGAACCAAACACAACACTTCTCTCAAGTTCAATTCTCAGGAATCTCAATCTCACCCTCCTGAATCTCACTCTGAAGATCTTTAGGATCTTTCCCATCAACAGTACACCCAACAGACACACACGTCCCAAGAATCTCCCTCACAGTCCCACTCAATTCCTTAGCAATAGATCTCGGCCTCATGATCCTCGCGATCTCAATCACATCATCGAACGAAATGTTCCCATTGTGCTTAATGTTCTTCACCTTCTTCCTATCCCTCTCGGGCTCTTTCAACGCCTTTATCACCAGCGCCGCCGCTGAAGGAACCACCGTCACTTTCGCCTGACGATTCTGCACCGTTAGCTTGACGGTGACGCGGAGTCCTTTCCACTCCTTGGCGGTTTCTTTCGCGATGTCTTCTCCGATCTTCTTGGGAGCGAGACCGAGGGGACCGATCTTAGGAGCGAGAGAACTCGCTGCTCCGACTTCTCCTCCGGTAACGCGGACGTACACGTCAACGATCTGACTCGGGTCCAACTTCGGCGGCATGGCTGTCTTCGGGGGGTGTTAAAGAGGTTTCTTTCTTCTGTCTCGACGGTGAGGCGTTTGCAAGGAAAATGGTTTTTGAAGGAGATTGAAGATATTAGGTGGAAACTAGGGTTTACGAAAATGGCTAATGACGAATTTATCCTTTTTATTTTTAGATACTGATTCGGATTTTCTTAGAACTAGGTCGGGTTTTGGAATTTTTGGTATATTGATTTAGTTTCCATGGGGATGTTTATACATAAATGATTTTTATTTTATTTGGGTATTTTTCAATCCGGATTTCGGTTCGGTTTTTAGGTTTTCCGGTTTATAAGAAATAGTTACCATATTAAAACCATATATTTGGTATGTTTTCGTTTATATACCATCGATTTTCGATTTATACCAAAAACCATAAATATATATCTATCTATATAAAGTACAGTTTCCTCTCTTAGGAGTGTCACATCACTAAATAGAGGGAGGAGAAAGTTTCCTCTCTTGTCGTTAACAAAACATTTCACGAGTTGAGCTTTTTTGGTCTCTTCTTGGGTTTTAAACGTCCATAATCTTATTTAAAGACACAAAACACGTATGTTTGGTTCTTTTTTCACGCTTCCGAGCCCATTAATATTATTCCCCCAAATCCCACTAACATCAAAGTTGATGATACACACTCTAATTTATCTGAGCAATGCTACAGTTACTGCCTTAAGGAGATAAAAACTACAGAACGTTCAAAGCCATCAAATGAATCTTCAAAAAGGATCAAACTTGCCTCATCGTAGGAGATCTCTTGACCAATGGCGCTTCTATTCTCGAGGCAGTGGAGTCTCAACGTGCCGTTGGTATCAAGGGTAAGGACGCAGTGGTTTTTATCAATAGGCAAGAAGGTGGTAGGAAGAATCTCGCGGGGAATGGGATAAATCTTGATTCTATGATTATATTGACGGATATGGTTATGGTTTTGAAGAAGAAGGGAAAGATCGAATAGAGAGTGTAAATGAAATTGCTCAAGTTTCTGGAAGAGAACCGTAGGGTTAGTGTTCCCAATGTGGAGAAGACAAAGCTCATTACTAGAGTTTTAGGGTTTAAGGAAAGATCTGAGATTTAATCTGAGGGGTAAGATGCTATTTCAGGTTATGGTGAAGAAATAAACCAATTTTTACTTAGCTGACGATGTTTGAATTGATGTCGAGTTGCGAGACAAAACCGGTAAGATAAAGCATTGGTTTTATTTTCAGTCTGATGTTTAAGTTAAGTAATCTTTTGCAGATATTTGTGTTCATGAAGGTAAGAGTTTTTTTTCTTTTGAAGACTCATGTTGAAATTCTTGATTTTACCTTTGACTTTAGTTCTAAACTCTGTGCTATAATGTTACTTACATCTTTGCAAATTTATTTTTTTGTCTTGGATACACAAAAAGTTTAACTTCTACAATAGAAACATGAATCTTATGCTACATGAGGCTACACTACAGCAACCAAGAAAATTGCAGGCTCATTCTGACTTCATGATGGCCACATACCGTGGCGTCTTGAAAAGAAAATGTGCTGATAGCTACAATCAAAGATGGAACAATATCTTTATAAAATTTGGATATCAAATTCAGAAAGATTGGAATTAGGTCAGTTCAACTTAATTTCAGTATTAAGAAGTGGGGAAATTTGTCAAATATGACTCAAAATTTGGTTTCAAATGCAAAAGTAACCTAAAAAGCTATTGAAATTACAATCAGCCCATTGTGAACAAACAAAAAACCAAAATTTTCTTTTACGTTTCTAACCTCCGTAACTATTCTATCCAGGCGACTTAGTTGAAAGTCTAGTATAGTTATTCTTAAAAATAATTTAATTTTTTTGTAAAAAATATTTAGATAAGTGAAAAATTGAAATCATGTAATTAACATATGTTTTAAGAGATAAAAATTAAGATATAATAAAATTTAATTGTTTTCAACATAGATGAGTGAAAGTAGTGAGTCATGATATTCTTTGGTTTAGGTTTTGCCAACATATGTTGTAGTATTGTATGTGTTTTTTAGGGTTAGATTTTCGAAAGCATAAATGTTTTTTTGAAAAATTTACAATTTACCTAAGTGTGTTTATTTATGTGTATAGTAAACACTATTTAAATATAATTTGATTTTATAACGTGGTTAGTTAGTTAATTTAGTCAATTTAGTTTAGGGTTTAGGGTCTAGACGACTTACTGTCGTCTAGTAAATATATTTAAGGCAGACGACGTACTAGTAAGTCGTCTGATGTATAGTATCAACATACGACTTAATAATAAGTCATCCAAACCGGACCGAACCTTTGATTTTACCAATTTACTTTTAAACCTAACCGAATTTTTACCGGACATATATAAGATATTTTTTTTACTCACTTTTTTGCGAAATTTACAAAACCCTAACGCATTTTCTCTCAAAGGTGATTTCCGTCGAATCTCTCTAATGCATTGTTCTCAACGCCGGTTTTCTCTCTGCCTTACCACCATCATTATCACCACCGTTCTCACCGTCGATTCCTCTAGATCTGAGAGGAAACCCTAGCGCCGTTTTTCTGTAAACCCTAGCGCCGTTTCTCTTAGAGGCGTTTCGTTGAAATCTGCCGCCGGTAAGTTATATCTAAAGAAGAACATAAAACATCGTTCACCGTCGTTCTCATCGCGTTTCTTTTTTCACGTCTATTTTTGCAGATCTATAACCGCTTTGTCGAAGGCGACTATATCCTCTCCGAATTTTCATGTCAGCTTTCCAATGATCTACTCGAAGTCTTGGTAGACTTGACAAACGACTTAATTATAAATCGTCTGGAAAGTCTTCCAAACTTATAATTAAAATGTTATATTGGATGGTTGTGTGTTTGAGAATGTTGTCTTTGATTGTTTTGTAGAAAAAAATGGATATTCCAGAACTCCCCCGTAAGATATATACAGTAGGGCAAGAGCCCCCGCATTGCATAGCATTTCGTATCATCTGTGTACGAAGTTGTATACTTCTCTAAGGAATGCTCTTAATGATGACGAATATGAAGAGCTGAAGGAGTCTAAGTTGGGAGTTTTCATCGAGTTCCGAGAGCTGGAATTTTCATGGGCTTCAAGGCTGGTTCACTACATGCTTAGTTTCCAGCTCGACATAAAGAAGAAGTCTGAGCTGTGGAGTATTGTTGGTCCACAACCTTTGAGGTTTTCACTGTTAGAGTTTGAATACCTCACTAGTCTAAACTGCGAGTACATAGAGGACCTTGAGAGACCAAACTGTTCTGTTACAAAGGAGTTGGCTGCTTTCTGGGAGTTGTTGGGAGTTAATATCGAAGTTGGGCCAACTACTGATCAAATAATAGCAAAATTTAAGAGATGCAAAAGGTGGTCTCCAGATGATCGCAAGCGGCTCGGGTACCTTGCCATCTTCACTTGATACATTGAAGGGAGGAAGTTTTCAACCCCTACGCGGGCTATTCTGGCAAGGCTAGTGATGGATCTAGAACTGTTTGAGAATTATCCATGGGGGAGAGTCGCGTTTAAGGTGTTGATGGACTCTGTGAAGGGCAAATATATATCGGGTTGTTACACCATTGATGGGGTTTGTACAAGTTCTCCAGGTCTGGGTGTATACAGCTCTGCCGGAATTGGGTGCTAATTATGGTAATCCCATACCAAACATACTGTCTCCACCGATACTGGCTTACAAGGGTGGAAAAGAACGAAAATTGTTTAAAGAAGCTACTGAAAGACAGGTATTTACTTCAATCCAAAACACTTTTTGAAAACATATGAATAAGTCGTCTGGAAAGTCTTCCAACTGGATGACTTAGTAGAGAACTTATAATTAAGTCGTCTGTAAAGTCTTTCAGCTGGATGACTTAGCAGCAGACTTATCATTAAGTTGTCTGTAAAGTCTTCCAGCTGGATGACTTAGTAGATGACTTATCATTAAGTCGTCCGGGAAGACTACGCAGACGACTTAATAATAAGTAGTCTGCTAAGTCATTCAGCTGGAATATTTTCCAGACGACTTACGTTTAAGTCGTCTGGTAAGTCATCCAGCTGGAAGACTTTCCAGACGACTTAATCATAAGTTTTCTGCGAAATCTTTTATTTCCATCTTTCTTAATCCGTCAAATATCTAAGTTTATATCTTCTATTTACTGCAGACTAGGGTGATGAACTTTGTCGAAAAGGGCATTGGTGAAATGTTTCCAAAATGGGACTCTGATGCTGAGGACTCGGCTGCGGAGAACATATTAAACTCATGTATATAAAGAGACCATGGAAGTGGACCATGGATTACTGGAAAGTCACCGATACTTGGGTCAATACAAGGCCGGCAACAATAAAGCGAAGAAAGCGATAGTTCTGGTGAAGGAAGACAGTCCAAGACCTCTTAAGAAAGCTCGTAAAGAGCATATTGAAGAGATACCTGCAGAGGTAGAGGAAGAGGTAGAGGAAGAGTAAGAGGCAGAGGAAGAGGCAGAGGTGAGTACCAATGTTGGTGGACTGACGAAAGAGGATATTTGAAATAATCGTGAAGGATTCTCTGAAAGACGTACTCAATGGCATGAGGCAAGGGTTTGGGAAGTGCCTTACGGAGATCAAATATCTGCCCGAAAGGGTGGAAGCTGTGGAGAAGATCCTTGGTATCACAAAAAATGGGAAAGGGGCATCATCTCAGAAATCTCAACCTAAAATGCTAGAACCCGAGGTTAGTAAAACATTCTCTCGCAACAAGAAATTGAGTAGACAATTTGAAATGGATCTTGCTGGGGGGGGGGGATGTGAAATTGTTAATGGGTCGAACGCGGGAAAGAAGAGCTTGCCCAAGGGGGGTAAAGCCACAGATTTGTCCGCATGTGTTACTTCCTCGAAAGAGCTGAGTATAGTTCTGAGCCAGGAAAAACCTCCAGAAACGATCCTTCCATCCAACCTTCCTCCAGAATCGAGCCTTGAACTATTGAAGAAACATGTACCCACTGTTTCAGATCTAGTGAAGGAGCAAGCTAGATATCAAGGAAAGAGGGAAACCGCTTTGACAAAAAT